AGCCAGTCTTGTGAAGTTACAGGATCTGGAGCATCCTCTTCAATTCTGTAATTACAGAGAAGTTAAGATATGTAGCAAGATAAGATATATCTACATAAAACTCAAGTGTTTAAGACTATGGAGGTTTAAGGGATTTACAGAACTTCAAGAGTTTCAGATTAAAGTTGTAAAGTGTCGATTATATAGTACAATTTTTACTCGTAAGAATTTGAGCATCGCATACCTTATGTCTGATGAAGACTGAGACGTCTGTGGCTCAGAATGTGATTCTGAAGATGCATGAGAGGCGTTACCATCTGGCGCTTCTTGCTTTACCTCTGAGAGGTCTGTGAGAGCCTCTGCAATCGTGAGGACTAATAATGGTCGAGACAGCATCTGCATAAAGATCATACACAGTGACTAAGACTCACAGCAAATCAGAATGGTGAAACAAATATCAAGTAAGCACATTGAAGGGCTTTGTGCCTGGAATATGAACTGATAGCTGGGATGATACAAAAACTTAAAGAGTAAAAGATCACAGAACTACAAGTTATCATGATCCCTCAAACTAGATTGCTACACCGATAATGAGTTGCTACCAAATCATGATGTAGGAATTAATTCTGATTTGTTCAACTTTCAATTTAAAATGTGCAAAGGACGACATGAATGGCCTTTAAAGTGCAGAAGTGAACACAATAAATGTTCGTCTAGATAAACATATTACAAGCGACGCACATATAATCAGCATCATGAAAAAGTTGAGAATGTGAAAAAGCCCAAAGACATAGGACCTAGGGGATCATTTATTTCAAACTTCATACTGGTGTTTCTAAAGTTCATGCTTTTATTCATCAACAGTTGGTAACAAAAGCAACAAGCGAAAAAATGGCATAGTGCCATGGGGTCACAGTAGCAAACCTGCATTGCCTTGATCAACTCCTTGAAAGGAGCCCATCTCTGAATCCACTTAAGAGGAGGATAACAAAGGCATTGTAACGCCTGAAGACTGTTCCACAAATGAGGACATTTAGCCTTTGAAACTCTTCGAACGACTTCCAAAACAGCAATTTTGAGCAGAAACACGGCTGCATTACGCACGTTTCCACTGCCAACTCCACCATTATTTGCCAATGAAACATGCTTACAAATCGTCTGCTGAATAGCTCTTGGAATAGCAGCTACTAAGCTTCTCTTTGGAAACTCTTTCCCAGTAGAAACAGTAGCCATCATAGAGTTTCTACTTCTAGCAGAATGATGCAATGGGTCTCCCATTAAAAACAAGGGGAATTCTCCAAAATAGCACACTTTCAAGTCTTTCAATACGCCACGGAGCTCCTAATAACTCAAACGAGAGATCACGCCAATTCCATGTTCAACAATAGCAATCTGCAAACAAAACAAAAAAACAGCCGATCATATCACCAAAATCTGAGCTCATGAAACATATCACTAATCTGTAGTCACAATTATGGAAATTCAACATTACGATAAGCTATACTTCACCTAAAAAACAACATAGAATCGAAGAAAATTCAGAGAATTCTGTAAAAGAAATAAACAAGACGAAACAATATCACTAACCTCGAATTAATCGACGGAAAACAGATCGGCTGAAAGAAACTAATAGACGGCGAAATTCAGAACGATCGGAGAATTAGATTCTCGGAAGCGAAGAGAGATTCCGTCGTCTCTCCGAAGTCACAAACTCAGAGAGAAACGAAACTTCGAAACAAAAAATTACTAATAAACAAGTCTAACACGGGCAACACGGTATGAGACACGTGTACTGTCCCAACTATCTTGATAGCGATTGATGGTAAATCAACGGTCCAAGAGCGACAACGTCACGGGCCTTTTAAATACGTAGGGCACAAAAGACGCGAACTTCATGCTGTTTATTATTCCCTACACAAAGCGAAAAACTGTACGAAATTTGTCGCGGTGACGTAAGAACGCCGTGGAGTTCTAGCGTCCAAACAAAACAAACTAAGAAGAACAATGCTTCAACAAGCCAAAAACAAAGCTTCTTCAGCAGAAAAAAAAACGTATGAATAGTATAAATTTAATGTCAGGTCCTCTCAATAACAACACTTTTTTCGACCAAACACTTCATTCACGTCCTGGGACGCGATCAAAAGATGCAAGACGGGTTTATTACAAGTAGTGTTTGGACAGTTTTCGATAAGATAAATGAACTTTGAACTCCAGACAAGTTGGAGTTGAAGCATGAAAAGTGTTTGTTTGATCACATCATTTCTTGAGACTTTCTGACACAACGGCTTACTTTCTTCTTGAACTCGTCTCTCTTCTCTCTCCATTCTTTCTGTAATAGGAAAACATGGGAAGAATGGTTAACGAGCAAGCTCTTCGGTACATACAAGACTCCTATTGAAACTAAATGAAAATCTGAAGATGCAATGTGAATCTTATAAGATCATAGCTAATCAATAGAAAAAAAAAACTCACAGCAGCTTCAACATTTGCTGGAGATTCATCGTTGGGACCAGAGAGCATTGATATGATACTCAACATGATACTCTCAACCTGAAATCAGAATTGATTTTTTCCACTCATCAGATCTAAATGACATTATCCTTGGTCTTTAGAAAGTGTGAAGTTGCTGAAATATGCACAAAAAGAGAATAATGTTGGATTAATTTCAACGTACTGTGTGAACAGGTGTCCAGCGCTCGCTTGCAAGCTCGTATCCGCTTGGATCATCACCAGGAGGATGCAGAATAGATATGCAAACACGCCCATCGGGATAAACTGCAGACCATAAGAGAAACATTTCCAAAACAACCAAAGAGATTCAAACACGAGCAAGGAGCGCAAAATGTTGGAAGCAAAGTGTCTTTCAATTAGCCCCACGAAGGGCATGTTCGAGCGAAAAAACTAACCATTAGGATGCCAAATATCTGAAGTAAAACGCACCGTAGGCGGGCTATTAGGGTAGTTTTGTGGGAAGGACATAATGGCGTTGAAGAATCCTCCTTCACTGCATTTACGAAGTCATATAACTACGCTTAATCCTTTATTAAAGACACAAAACTGAGTAATTCCATACAATTAAGCAAAGGAAAAGCTAAGAGCTGATACAATATCATCTACACAAGAACACTACTCCAATGTAATCCAGCAAAAGCAATTCAACTCTACATCCAAAACCTGAAATTCTACATTCATATGAATCTGAAATTATCCATCTCAGCAACATCAGTGAAGAGATAGCTTCGATATTCAATGTGGTTCCAACAAATCGATCCGGAATTCGATAG